TATTTATTTATTTATCAATAATATATAAAATATAAATGGTAGTGGGTTGATTTTTCCAAAATTATCGTATATATCTGATAGTTACCAACAAACAATTATACCAACAATGAAAAATAATGATACAATCTAAATGTAAAATTTATAATAAACACTTTTTGCTTTTTTTTCTTTCGAAATTTGGAGCTTTGGTAAAAAAAGGTGGACGGTAAATAAATTATTTAAAAAAGAATTATATTTGTGTTTTTATTTTTTATTTTTTTAAAGTTTAAGAGATGAATTTTAAAATAAAAAAATGTATTTGCGGGTTGGATCAGTTAATTGACGGGTTGGTTGCTTAAACCGCAACCAACCCAACCCGACTTTATAATGATTAAAATTAATCGAACCAAACCAATTTTTTGGTTCAAACCAACCCAAACCGACCATACTCGGTTTGGTTCGGTCCGTTTAATCAGTTTTTCGATTTTTTTGCCCACCCTTAATTCTTGGAGGTTTTTAGTAGTTAGGTAAAATACTCAATTAGTTGATCTGGGGGAATTTGGGTTTATTTCTAATTCTACATATGTTTCTCTTCATCTTGTTTGCTGTGGTGTTGAATGCAATTTGTGTGATGTGGAGGTGGTGCGGCTCTGATTGCGGTGGTGGTGATGGTAGTGAGTTGTTGGTGTACGTGGTGGGCGATTCTTGCTAAACGGCGATTGGATGATCTATGGTGTGTGCTATTTTGTGTGTATGGAAACGATTGTGTGGTGGTACGGTTAAAGTGGTGGCGACGGCAATGGTGAAGTAGTTGTGGTATTTGGTGGTGGTGTTGGTTGTTTGAGATGGTGGCGGTGTTGCTAGTAAATGTTGGTGGTGATGGGCCTGTCAAGGTAGTAGTGGATCGGTGCGAGGATGTGGTGGTGATTTTATGCGATGTGTTGATTTGTTTGAGATGGTGTTGCTGCCGGGAGGTGGTTGTGGTGAAGGTGGTTCTCGCGATGACGGTGGCAATGGTGCTGCTGGAGGAAGTGGTGAAGAGGTAGTCACAAGTTGGTGGTTGGTGATAGTCACATATTATTTGGTCGTCTGTGACCATTAAATTGGTTAATCTGTGACCAATAAACAATACGTGATCAATGAAAAAGATAAATTGTGATAAAAAAATAATGCGTGACCTGAAAATTGTTAATTTGTGATCGATAATTTGACAATTTGTGACTATCTACTAAGTTGTGACTTAAAATATTTGTGATTTGTGACCGATGAATCAGTTGTGACATATACATTTTTTTATTTGTAACCGATAAACAAATTGTGATATATAAAATTTCTGAATTGTGACCGTAAAATAATTTGTGACCTATAAAATTTCTGAATTGTAACCGTAAAATAATTTGTGACCTATAAAATAATCTGTGATTTATAATTTTTTTGATTTGAAACCGATGAACAAATTGTGACATAAAATTTTTGAATTGTGATTGTAAAATAACTTGTCACGTTTCAATTTTTTATTTGTGATCAATGAACAAATTGTGACATATAAAATTTTTGAATTGTGACTGTAAAATAATTTGTAACATGTAAAATTTGTGATTTGTGACAAATTAATAATATGTGACCAATTATATAGAATTTGTGATCAAATTATATGGAATTGTGACTTTAATATATTTAATTAATAAAAATTATGTTTCATTAATTAATTTATAAAGAAAATTTAAAAAAAAATTGAGATTTGAAATTTTAAACCTCAAAAAAAAAAATCTGAAATTTGAAATTTGAAATTGGTAAAACTTAATCTTTTAGTTATGAAATTTTCCCTTCAAACAATTATCCAGGCATGTGGACTATGAGCCTCTTAGTTGCACTCTCAGTAACCTCAACATTGTCATGTAATTTACTTCTTCCAAAATGTTTAGAAATTCAAAAGCTATTTAAAAGTAACTTTTACTTCTTCTTGAATGTAGAAGAACTTCAGCTAATTAGGCTACGTCTCAACATTTATTTGGTAAGAACTTCATTGCTTTATTGCTACATTGTTGAGCACTGGGTGTAAACACTTGATTCTAAGTATGGCTGGACATTTTAATCGTAGACCCAACTAATCCGAGCAATCCTTAGCAATTTGGGTCGGTTTTTGAATGCCTTGA